TTCTAAAAGTTAATTATGTTAATGAATTAATTATTCCAAGTTAGCCAAATTGTCATTTATGATAAAGAGAAAATACATATGATATATTAGCCACATATTACAACATTCGAATATTTTCTTAATAATCAATGTAGAAAAGGATGTTATTAGTTGAAAGTTGAAACACGTTTATAGCATGACTAGAAGTGTGACAAAGAAGAAAGCGGGAATGGGGCCCCGAAGCGCACACAAACAAGCGACAATGCCACCTTTCTGCAAACCCACATTCTCAACCGACATCCTCAACCCAGAATATTTATTTTAAAACTTTTACATACGCATTATTCAACTTTCATCTTTATCCTTTTCGTTGTTTTCTTTTCAATTTATTTAATACTTTGGGTTATTACAAAACTCTTTGCAATTAAGTGATTAACCATTATTAATGAGTTTATTAATATAAGTAATTATTACTTTTAATCTTTAAAAATGACTACTATCTTTGAAACTACAGATTTGTTATTTAGATTTAAGAGTTTTTCTTTAAAAAAAAGAAAGAAGAAAAAAAGAAGAAAAAGTTATTTTAGAAATATCTATTTCGAATTGTTTAATATCAAATTAGCGAACTTAAGCCATACTAAGGTATATACTTTCATTTGTTATTTTATTTAATTATTTATTAGATTTTAATAAAAATCTAGTATTTTCTCGAAGTACCAGAATTGTTTATTCTCGAAGTACCAGAATTGTTTATCAAATTTCATATTTGTTCTTGATATTCCACATTTTTTTTTCAAAAATCTGAAATTTCAGTTCGGAATCCGAAATCCGAAATGTGACTGAATGTTATTTTTGTAAGAAAAAATAGTTTTATGATGTCCAGAATGACCCATTTCGGATTTTAATTCTTTATTTTCATATATATATATATATATATATGTATATATATATATATATGAGAAAATTGAATATACCTAGAAAGTATATAAGCTTAAGTATCCAAACTCACCAACTACGTCATTTTTGTATCATGACATTGTAATCGTCCAAAGTTCTTATAATTCAACTTTTAACTTGATTACTTCCCAAATGTTTGAAAATTTTATCATTATCATTCTCTAACATAATTTTCATTTGAAACTGTCATATATATAGTTTGGTTGGTGTTCGACAAAAAGATAATGGTGAAAATTTTAAAAATCTTAGAAGTAAATCAAGTTAGGAGTTGAATTTTAAAAACTTTAGACGATTACAATGCATTTTTCTTTTTTCCACAAAGGTTTCTATACAGTTATACTTGTGTTCTTCGATGTTTTTTATTTGTTATTTTGCATCTTGTGTTTGTCATCATCATCATATATAAAAACATTGTTGGATAATAGATTATGTAGTAAAGATCAAAAGTTTGTAGTAACTTGAATTATAGAACCACAGTAAATACCCAAAATTTTTCTTTTAAAATATGTTTGACAAAAATAGTTGATAAGTGGAGGTTATAATTTTAATTCCAAGCTACAATTGTAACTTTTGTTTGTATAAAATCATTTGGAAAAAATAGTTGTAAACTTGTGAAATGTATGAAACTACATATTATTTGATTTTAATAACAAATTTATGTGTTTTTAGGATAACTTAGTAATTTTGTTATAATAGGCATGCTTTTTTTTCTTTTTAATACTATTGGAATAACTTTTTGATTATGAACCTTTGGTTTAAAAACATATTCGAAATAGATTTTGTATTTTGAATTTTTTTTAAAAGACTAAAGATTAAGTAAATTTTTTTTGCCGGTTACACCATTCAAGATTTAATAGTAATTAGAGTATAACATATATGGGTTTTGGTCAATAGTGTAGTCGGAGGTGCTCTGATAACAATAATTAAAAACTATATACAATAGAATCTTATTAGAATAGAATATAAGTAGATGTCGATAGTCATGTTTTTATTATGGGAAGAGTGACTTTTTCAAAATAAATGACATCCGTTATGTGCAAACCAATAACCCAATAGCATAGATGCATCATAAAGAACAATATGGACTCGTGAACATGCAACAGCGACAATCAAATGGCAAACTAGTGGGTGTAAGTCAATACGAGCAACAAAAGATATATATGAATGATAATAATACAAACATATATACAAGAAGCATGAATAAAAAATACTAACAAACTAACAAAAAACATAAAAGAGGGGACGCTACCCATAACCCTAATGGTTTGCCTCTCTATGCCCCAATCTGATATCATGTCCTCTCTATAAGAGAGTTTTTCCATGTCAAGTCTCGTATTATCCTTCCATTTTCTCTTACTATCAATTATCATTGACTCTACATTTCTTATTGTCGCTAATGGTAGCCTCCTCATGACATGTCCATACCACCTCATATGTCTTTCCCTCAAATTCTTGATGATATGTGTCCCTCCTAAGGAGTTTCTTATAGCCACATTCGATATCATATCCAACAAAGCTCACTTTCATTGTGCGTAAAAGATAAATCAGATAAATCCTAATTGGCTAGTTAAAAATAAATGAAACAATGACACATAAGCATTTTTGTAAGTCAACACAGAGGAAACATATTACTAGGGAAACATATTATATATTGGTTAAATGGGTAAAATAATTCATGTTTATATTATGGATAATAAAAATATAGCCGATTGTCTATTTTTGTTGAATCTCTAACGTTGGTTGCTATTTGTTGCAATTTAGGTTTACATACAAATTGAACTCGGATAATATTTTATATGAAAGTAATTGTCCACAACTTGATTGTCGACATTGTTTATATTAAAAGCAGCCATAATACATTAAATTTAATATTGTTCAATAAAAACACATTTTTATAAATCAATTATTTATTTGATAACTTCTTTATATTAAAAACTTTACTTTATTAAGAGCTCAAAGCTCTGATGTGGCATACCAAAAATAGTCGTTGCAAGCCTGGAATATTGCCCCCGATCTGCGTTTTTGTACGTTATGTTACCGGGCGTTGCTGTGGTAACGAAAGGAAACGATGTTTTTTTGAATGTTGGCTTCTTACGACCCCTTTGTGCGAACTGTTTACCGGCGAGCAAAAGAAGAGAATAAGTTTTCAGTTTGGGCAGTTTTGGCCCCTCAAGTTCCGCATTCTTATGAGTTAAACCCTTAGTCAAATTTGTCTTATAAATCTGATTTCTGAAGAAAAAAAAAAACAATTTGGATCTGGCCTTATATAATATATTTTTTTTTATCATTATTACTATTATTATTAAAATAGTGTGTTTTATTAATTTATATTTGTTTTTATAATTTTTTAACAAACAAAAAAAAAAAAAAGGATGACATGAAAATTAGAAGGTGTTATAACATGTTATTTGGTATTGTCTATTTGCACGTTTGGTGTTATAACACTATATATGACTACGATGGTGAGTTGACAACTTTTGGATATGATAACATGTAATAGGGATGAAAATTTGGCCCGAAAACCCGAACCGAACCGAACCGAATTAGACCCGAATAAGCAATTCGATTCGGTTTTCAGGTATCTATATAAGGCTAATTCGGTTTTCGGGTTACCCGAATAAGGGCTTATTCGGTCCAAAAGGACCGAACCGAATATGAAAAGTCACATTTTTTTTCCTAACACGATTGCTTATTCGGTCTTCTTTTCTATCGATCGTTACCCAACAAAACTCACGTAATACACCAAAAAAATCAACGAAATCGAATTCGATCATCCGTATTACACCAAATCGACAATATCGTATTACACCAAATCGACGAGTCGACGACATTACTCTTTAATCGATTGAGGTTTTTCTCATCCTTGCGACATTACTATTTGATCGACAGTTGCGGATGTTGCCCTTGCGACTTGTGATAACCTGGACTCATTGATCGATCATCACTAGTTCAAAGTTCAAACTTCAAAGTCCATTCACGATAAGAAAAAAAAAATCGGCCATTGCGTCTGGAAAAAATAATCGTCTCCTCATCCTTGTTTTCTAGTTTCTAGTGTGATCAAACTCCATTCAAGTCATGGAAAATTGGGTTCCAAATCAAGAAACTCAAGTAAGTATTTGTATCTTAATCTACTACTCAATCTTTCAATGTGTTATTATGTATGTTACTCATTGAAATTTGAATGTGTTAATCTACTACTCAATCTTTTAATTTGTTTCTTTAAAAGATTTGTTATGAAATCATAAGCTACAAAAGTCATACAAAATACAATATTTATAATCACATTCTAAATGTTATTTGGGTTATTCGGGTTATTGGGCTCTTTAATCATCTTGTACATGTTATTTGGGGTTATTCGGGCGGAACCGAACCGAACCGAATAACACCCGAACCGAACCGAACTCGTATTGTTTATTTAGTTCGGTTTTCGGTTCATACAATTACCCTTATTCGGTTTTCGGTTTGTTCGGGTCGGTTTGGTTCGATTCCGACCCGAATAACATTCATAACATGTAATAATATATTACCCACACCTAATAACCTAAATAATCATTAAACTTTATATTCATCAAACGACCAACTTTGGAGTACATGATTATTATAAATATAATCCATTGAATACCTAACTATAATAAATATAATCCATTGAATGTATCTCGACATTCTACCGTGTTCAATTATTTCATAAAACAATTAGATTGTCAATGTCTAAGAGGGTGTTTGGCTTATCTTTTTAGAGACCAAAAGAACTTTTATAAAAAGATAGAAGGGAAAAGATGTTTGGTAAAAATATTTTAAAAGCAACTTTTGAGATTTTGATAGAAGGAAAACTGACTTTTTGGAAAAGTCAGGAAATGCTGGCTTTTTGTAACTTTTCCCAAAAGTCCTTTTGCCCTCTGAAAAGATAAGTCAAACACCCCATAATTGTATCTTATACATTTAGTAGACATTTGTATTGATAATTTTGAAGTAGCAGCCAAATAATTTTTCAATTAGCGTGAGAAAACAAGTAATAAATAAAAAGAATTTTCAAATAAAAAAGTAAATAAACAATCCAGCAAATGTTAATGAAATCCAGAAGTCTCAGGAAACGACGACGTCACATATTCCCTAACCTCCCTCGCAATCACCCCTCTCATAACGTCCCAAAATTCCACCGGCAGACTCTCATTTCTCTTCTCCTGCGACCCATACCCGCCCATCCCCGGTGGAGCCAACGAAAGAGTTGTCATCGGATCATCTACATCCGCCGCCGCATCCTCATTGCACACAGACCCGGGCGACGTATAAGTAGTCCCGAATCTTAAAAGTTCCATCTCCGACTCCGACCTGGTGGTAGCGTCGGTCTCGATTCGCCGTCTCTTCAACGTCGAGTTCCAATGATTCTTCACCGCATTATCAGTCCGGCCAGGGAGCAACCGAGCAATGGTTGCCCACCTATTGCCATACCGAGCGTTAGCAGTCAAAATGGTCTCATCCTCTGCCGGAGAAAATGGCAGGTGCTGCACATTGGGACTCAGCTGGTTGCACCATCGGAGCCTACATGACTTACCAGACCGACCCTTTATGTAGGTGCTAATAAGCGACCAGTTCCGAGCCCCATATGAATCAACTAGTCGGGTTAGTATCCGGTCCTCCTCAGAGCTCCATGGCCCCTTGATTCTTTGAGTTTTGTTAGTGTTTCCGGGTTTCCGACCAGAATGTGAGGAATCTGATGAATCCGATGAAGAAGAAGTAGCTGATGAGCACCTATTGAGTGCTTCCATGGCGGATTTACAGAACAAAGTTTTGATTTGATGAAGGGTTTTGAACTTCAAAGATGAGTGGAGATTTGGAATGATTTGAAGTGAGTTTATGGGGTGTGTGTGTATTATCTATAAATATATGTATTATATATATAGATCCAAATATCGAATGGTGCATGCACATATGAAGAAAACGGGGGACAAAGGGGTAGGTTCTTGGAAATTGGCTTTTGTAAAGTTGTTACAACTTCTTTGTTTAAGGAATCATAATCACGATTTTGAAGCTATAAATTACTAAATAATTTATTTATTTGTTTTAATAAAGATTTTTTTTACAACAAATGATAATATTTTATAATTTAATTGTTGGTTTTTAATATAATTCAGAAAACTAAGTTTAGATTAACTTTTGTCAAGTACTCAAACTACAACTTAAAATAAAACAGTGGTTTTGTGGTCGGTTAGTTGGAAGATTTTTGGTTTGAGATTAATTAAAATATATTCTCTGTTCATTCTGTCGCATTTCGTGGCTCTTTCCTTTCCACGTCATTTGTTTCGTTTTTATTCTTGTTAGCTAATTAATTAAAGGGAAAATACAGCTAATATGCAAAAAATGGGGGTGATTTTCTAAATTTAGTCATAAAATTTGATTTTTCCAGCTATAGACATACGTTCCGCGGACCTCTGCGGAATGACGTCATCTCCGCGGACCGGTCGAAAGTATGATTTTTAGCCTTTAAATTAGTCCTCCGCGTAGGCCCTCTGCGGACACAATAAGTGCTTCGCGGAGTGAGTTGTTTGGAGTCATAAGTACCTCCGCGGAGATGCTTACGAGGACCTCCGCGGAGAGAGTAATGTTTCCGCGGAGTGAGTGGTTGGAACGGCATTTTCAAGGGTTTTTTAATACAAAGTGTTATTTTTCATATTTTTAGCTTCGTTTAGTTGATAGATCAGTTCTTTTCATTTGATTTTCCAAAAAAAAAATATGAGTCTTGTTATTTTATGTACTGAGGGTTTTTGGCAGACTTCAAATGAGATTAACACCTACGTTAGACCAAAGTTTAACAACTTAGGTCTACTACTTCCGCCAAATTTTGATCGTCGAATATTGTTTGATTTGGTCAAAAGTAAGGCTAATGTGTTCAATAGTAATATATCATTGTCATTTCAACACCCGGTTCATGGGTATGTTATGAATATTTTAGACGAAGCAGATGTTTATCAACTCAGAAATGTAATTTCTGAAACGAAGGAGATTGTGCATTTATATTTAGAGGTGTTTCAGGGATTGGTCGAACAGACAGAAGCGGTTCAGAAAGTTGTACCATACAATGTTGAAAACGTTGTATCTGATAATGTTGAAGAGTGTCCAGAAGAAGAAACCCGTGGCAGTGAATACGGTGGAAGAAAAAAATTTATATGAGTTTGGAAGACTGACTGACAAAACTTTGTCAGACGGTGAAGAGTCAAATGAAGGATGGTCAGAAGATGAGTTCACACACGGGAAAAAAGCTTCAGACATATTTTACGGTATGCCTCCCATACCTGATTGTCCTGTTCCTATTGTTGAACCCGGACCATTTCACAGTTTAGGTCCAAATGATGATATGTTTGTTCGTCAAACATATGATAACAAACAACAACTAATATTTGTTTTGAGTCTTAAAGCAACCAGAGAAAAGTTTCAGTTTAAGACCAAACATTCTAACAAAAATCGTTATGAGGTATATTGTGAAATTGAGAACTGTTTATTGGCGTTTATATGCAAAACACCTTGATCCCACTGATGAATTTGAAATCAGGACTTTCAACAACGTGCACACATGTTCGTCATTACAGATACACCCTAATCATAAGCATGCTAATAAAAAAGTGATGGGTACTATATTGCATGAGATTATGGGAAAAACTCGTTCCAAGGTTTGGAGGCCTAATGAAATATCAAGGGATTTGAATGCTTTGCTGGAAATCAATGTAGATTACAAACAAGCTTGGCGTGCAAAACAATATGCTATGGAATTGTTGTTGGGATCCTCAGAAGAATGTTTTTCCAAACTTCCTATTTATTTTCACAATTTGAAGAGGCATAATCCCGGTACAGTGACCTATATTCAAACAGATTCTGAAGATTGTTTCGAGTGTTGTTTTTATGCCATTGGGAGCACGGTAAATACAAAAAACTTGTTGTTATTTAATATAAATTTTTTTTAAACAAACTATAGAGTGTTTATGTGTTCCATTTTAATATATTGCAGATACGAGCGTTCAAAAGTTTTTGTCGTAAAGTTATAATTATGGATGATGCTCATTTGAAGGGTGATTTTAAGGGAACCATATTGCATGCAGTAGCTATGGATGGGAACAACCAGATATTGCCCCTTGCGCACAGAATATGCAAAAAAGAGAGTGGTCTTACTTGGACATGGTTTCTTGAAAAGTTGTATGAATGTGTTGGTGATTGTCAAGAATTGACTTTTGTCACTGATAGGGCCGATGCAATTCGGGTTAGTATTGAAAATGTTTTCCCACATGCTCATCATGGCGTGTGTGATTTTCATCTACTAGGAAACATAGTACACAGGTTTGGGAAAAATGATAAAACAAAAGTGTTGTTTTGGAGGCTTGTGAAAGCTTACAAAAAATGTTTTTGAAGAATTGTGGTATAGATTTAGTTCTACTAGGCCGCAAGTAGCAGCGTATCTAAATGAAATTCCCCGTGCTAAGTGGACTAGAGCATATTCGCTGTCGAAATGGTACGATTACATGACCTCGAACAGTGCAGAGTCCATGAATGCTTTATCTGTAGATGCAACGAAGATGCCTATAATACCCCTTCTTGAGTTCTTCCGTCGTCTTTCACAGGAATGGTGTAACAAGCGTCGCATCGAAGGAGGTATGAATTTAATTTGGACTTTAATTAGGTCAAATAATAAGTTAATTATATATATCTTCTTTACAGGGAAATGTTCAACAGTGCTAACCGAGTGGGCTAAAAAAGTAGTTAGTAAAAATGAAGAATGTACGACAGGATGGTCCGTTTCTGGTGTTTCAGATGCAATATATCAAGTTCATGATTTCAAATATGGTGGCATAGTTGATCTGAGGCAAGAGACTTGTACATGCAAATATTGGGAAGGAACTGGGTTGCCTTGTGGTCATGTCATAATGGTCTTGAAGCACTTGAAAAAAACTAACTTCGGTCATCTAGCTATAGATTCTTACAAAATTGAAACGTACCGAAGTACGTATGAGGAGCCGGTTTACCCCCTTCCAGAACCGTGTGATTGGGAGATTCCTGTTGAGATGATGGTTGTTAAACCCTCGATAATGGATACACGTCAAGCTGGTAGACCGAGAAACAGAAATCGTATCCCGTCACAAGGTGAGGAACCTATAGTAAGAAGGTGTAGTAGATGTGATAGTACAACACATAATGCAGCGACTTGTCCGACATTGGTCCCAAAGAAACAAAAAAAGGCTACAAAAAGTAGTGAGGGATCAGGTAGTAACACAAAAGGGAAAGGGAAAGGGACTCAGGAGACGCTACAGACGCACGGGACACAAGAGACGCGTTGGACGAGTGGGACGCAGAGAGAAGACTATTGTTCAACGTTTGATTTGAATGATTGATGTTGTATTTATAATTAATTATGTTTTGTTTTAGAGGACATTAATTTGTGTACTTTGAAATGGTGTGTTTATTTTAAAGATGATGGGTAATATTATGATTATATTAGTGCATAATTACTAGTACAATAATAACTAATACTCAAAGATAATACATTCAACAAACCAGAAACATATAGTAAACGTACAACAACAATAATTAACTTAAGGGAATTGCAAAGGATACTTTTCTTTCTCCATTGTTATGTAGTCGTCCCTAATTCTTATTTTATCTTCCATACGGTCCTTTTGGCTACAAAGTTCTATCATTTATGCATCCTTGTCAGCAAGCCATTTTTCAGACAGTTTGATATTCTTCTTACTTTTTTTATCCATTCCTCATGATCTTTGATTTTGTTTTTAGTAATCGTCATCCTTTCCTCAACCTCTTTGCACTCCGCCGCAATGAGGTCACGACGTTCAGTGAGAGCTCGAGATGAGTCTTTATCTTTTTTTTTGTTCTTCAGCCCATTGTAGTTGTTGCAAAGTATCATCCGACATATACGGCTCTCTTAAATTTGGTGATGGGGCAAGAAAAGGGTCGACCGGATCACAATAGAAACAATCAACTTCGTTGCACGAGCAAATATACAAAGTTGAAGATGAACTCGTTTTAAATTTAAAAAAAAATTATAACTCTATACCAAAAATCCAACGACCATCCATGAGTATATATAGTCCCTTCCACTCCGCAGAGAGATGTTGTCAGTCCGCAGAGCTTTTTGTCAGTCCGCAACAATGTGTGTCAGTCCGCAGAGCTGTTTGTCTAGTCGTTGTCATCCATACATTACAATTATGGGAATACAATTATTTATTTAAAGGTAAACATTTTTTATTAAAAAGTAAAGAACGTCATTACAACTACGGTTAACATAGAACTGAATACAAATTAATATTCGTTGTGATCCATACAATACAGTTCAATTGAATTGTCGTGGAGGTAATACCACAACACTTTCAACTGGTATTTCCCAATGCCTAAGGGCTGGAATAGGATTGACCGTCTCAGTTTGATAAGCATTTTGATACACCGCTGTACTTAACTTTAAATTTACCATTTGCTGGATTTCTGCAATTTCGAGTCTTTGTAGTGAAGCTATAGCATGCTCACAAGGTATACCGCATTTTTGCCATTTACCGCAACTACAAATACCACTGTCTAATTGGACAGTTTCGGTTGTTGAATATTTAGTCACTTCATATCTGTCGCCAACAATATGCGTAATCCTACAACCATCCGAGTGGATAAATCTTTTATGAATCACCTTAAGTGCATAAGGGGTTAGAAGACCATGAAAATCCCCTGTGAAATGAACTGAATCAAAAAAACAAAAATTATGATGTCATAATGTATA